ATCAAAATGTTGTCAAAAAAAATGGCAAAATTAAAAAAAAATAAAATTGGGGGCCCCCCCCCCCCCCCCCCCCCTTAACCGGATAATGTGTTACAGGCTAAAGCAATATACCATTAAATAGAATACGAACGAGGGCTTCAAAACATTATTTGATTTAAGCTTTAATTTTGAACCAGAACGAAATCGAGAATATAAAATTCCCATTAAATCACTCTGAAACTTAAACTATCAAAACACAACGCCCGACCGTTCCTCCAAAATTAGATTATTTGATCTCAACAATCGAAGTGCATGTTTATACACGGTTCTTTTCATGACAACGGACAAGCGGATAACAGGGTTATGTGACAATAGTTGGCCAACATATGAGGATCGAGGCTCATCTCAAAGAAAGGTAAAGCTTATTTCAACTTCCAAATGGAAGGAAATTGAGATGCAGAGTCCGTAAATAGGATCATGACTACAAAGGCAATAACTTTATCATTATCTTTCATCATTCTGTTAAAAATATTGGGAACAGTTGCTTTGCTGACATCCAAATGTAAAACAGTTCTATGTTTTAAAATAATGGGTGATGCAAAAGTTCCTGCACAAATGTCTCTCCATTTTTCATCTACTATAACATGTTTCGAGAAAATTAAAAATAGCTCTTTAGAATCTGCGTTAAAAGAGCTTTCTGCTCGTATGTTCAAAAAAATGCTACCTTGTCTGGCCTTGGAGTGACTAGCACATCTTTCGACAGCATTAAAATATGTGGACAGATAGATGTACAATTCTTAATCTCTTATTCGAATTTACGGTGCATAGCTCTTAAGGAANTTCGCCAGAATTAAAATATTTTCTGTAACGGTAAAACCCCCCCGTTTTTTTTTTTTTTTTTTTTGTTTTCTCCTGTTCATTCCATCGGATTTTGTCGACTCTTTTTTTATTAGATTCCCCATTTAATTATCTACCAATCGGCAGAAAATATTATGACATGGGTTTAGATAACACCGGAAAGAATTGACTCCGGAGCTCTTACCATTGTCAGGCATATACTCGTTTTGTTTTGCTCAATATTTCTTTCACCTTCTCGATGTTTGCGTTTTTCTTTACTGTGCATTGGTGATCTGAGGGTTTCGTCATATTTTAAATCGCTAGTATCCCGGATCTCTCCCCGCCACCATTTCATTGCTCTGGTTGAAATGGCGCCTCTCAAATGTCGAAAAAATTTTGTCAGTCCATCACGACTTTCATATTCAATTTTTACGATATTTCGTCGATCGTGATTTTTCGATTTTTTTGATTATGCTATCTAAAGCAATGTCGTATTATTTTTCTACGAGATTCATAGAGAATTAAAGAGCGAATCTGATGAAAAAAAGATCAATAAAATACAATGAAATAAATCGGAGAAAATCGAAAAATACTGAGAGATTAGTTTCTTTTGTCACCGCCACTTCGAGCTGTTTTACATACTCCAATTTAACTCTGTTCAAAGATGTGCTCGTTACTCAATGGTAAGACATAATAGCATATATCTGAACACTTAGTTAGAAAGCTCTTTCAACGCTGATTCTGAACAGGTAATTTTGATTCTTCTAAAACATGTTTTAGCCGATGAAAAATGGAGCGACATTTGTGCAGGAACTTTTGCATCACCCATTATATGTCATAGTATGAATTTAAACTTCTTTTGGTAATTTAGCATACGGTCCAAATAAAAAATGCTCAATACATTTTCAAGTAATTTTTGGTCAAATACGACTATACGTAAAAAACAGAATTGAATCTGACGAAACTTTAAATAGAAAATGAAGTAGTCAATATGAATAAACGTAGAGTGGCATGAATAAAATAATAATTCGTATTTCTAAAGGTGAATGAATCAATGTGTAATGATCAAGAATACAAATAATGTGGATAACGTTGCTAGATAACGTGACCACCGAATGTTGTTGCCATTATTACATAGATCATTTGAACGAAAACAATAGATTTTATGTTTTGTTTTTGTTGTTCTCGCCGTGTGACAACCAGATTTTATTGTAATTTTCATTGCTTGCAAATGTTCTAACTCAGTTTGTGATACACATTTTCGTATTGTTAGCGTACGTTCATCTTCAATAATTCTTCTATTGTTCGTGCTTCAATTTTTTCGTAGACGTTTAGACATTTTCCATCGCATTCTTCTTCAACATATGACGATGATAGTGCAAATTACTTAATACATGCATTTTCTTTTGTTTCAACATCTGAATGATGACATTTATAGCAACGTCGAGGACGATTTAATGACGAATAAAATTGTTTTGATGGTGCTAATTTACCACTTGAAGAATTTGAATAATATAGTTGACAACTAATAAACGAGCAAAACGAAACAATTAATAATATTAACAAACTCAAATGCATTTTTTAAAGAACAAAGACCTCCATGATGTAAACAGAGAGATGTTGAACATTGTCTGTTTGTCCCTCTTTTTTCGTTTTTTTTTCTGTTCATTAAAACAATTTTATCTACAGTATGTGGACAGATAGATGTACAATTCTTAATCTCTTATTCGAATTTACGGTGCATAGCTCTTAAGGAAAGAGGACAGATGAGAGACAAAAAAATGTTTATTTGTATTAGTAAAAATAGCATTTGTTGTCCGTTTAGCATAATTTAAAAAGAAACTTCGTATCGTAAAAAAGCGGTGGGCTCTTGCTCACCTGACATACGTCATTGACATTTTTATTTATTGTTTAAAATAATGTTTCGAGATTTTTGTGAGCAAACACGGAGGAGAGCTCCATGCAGCTCCGCCCAGTATTACATGATCTGAAAGCAGGTCAGATTATTCTTGTCATCGTCCAGTGCATGAAAAATCACTTATATATTCATACAATGCTGTTCAAACGGTTCTGAGAATGGCCGCCCATAGCTCGCAAAAGACGATGTTATCCGTTTCCCAGGGCTCCAGATTACCGAATTACCAATTTCACCACTACATCTGCCTTTTTCTAACAGTGATGACCGAAAAGAGCACAGAAAGTTACATATGTTGCACCAAAAATTTAATTTTTTCTCATCATTTTTTATACACGCTTTTCCATGAAAAATTTAACTGTCACTAACCAAAATTACATTTTTCAATTTGGGAAAAATTCATCCAAAGATTAAGAGAAAGAGCCTAACTTTAAAATGACCAGAGAGCACCACTGACCCTTGTCTGAATGCCACAGCGACAAGTTTGCAAATCCTTACTATTTCGCCTCAGTACCCCAGCATCCGAGATCTACTTTTGAACTTTGTGAGCTGTCCCCACGGTAACCACATGTGAACTTTTCGAGATATTATTATCTTAGATACTATATTCGAGTAGCCCTACAAATTTGGTAATATTCCGAATAAGTTAACTGGTCTTATGCGTTTAGAAATAGCAATTATTCTTTATATGAAAATAACTGATAGATTGCTATCTCAGTTTCCAGAGATCCGAACTGGTCTTGCAAATGTTTTCACAAAACAGTTTTACTTATGAAAATATAGGCTAGACTGTTCTCTTTCGATTGCTGAAAACTGTAAGTCTCTATTTTTTACCGCCTTTGAGTTATTAAGAGAGCGCCCACCAGCCCGTCGAGCAACTGCATAACTTTTGAAAATTTAGATTTTGATGAGAGGTATCTCATTCGATAGCCCTCCAGAATAACCGCCAAATTACAATTTTAACAACTCGGAACCTCTTGGTTACTGAGTTACGGCTTGTTTACAGAAAGGAAGTCCGAAATTTCTCGAAAAAGCTCAGCTTTTAGTATTTTGATTTTTTCTCGAAAACTTCTGGACAGATTCTCTCAAGCAACATTCCATTCGATGCAGAATAGAATTCTGAATAAAACGAAATGCTTTTATTGATAGTAAGACATACGGGTGGTGTGGTAAAGATAAAATACTGAAAACATTTGGTTCTGAAAAACGTGTATTTTTTGCGTGTTTTACAAACATATCTACTTTAAGCGCATGGGCCTCACGTAAAACTTATGGCATTTTGTAGAGCTGAGAATTCTCTACAAAATATGCGCAAAAGAGAACAAAAGAAAGTTTCACTTGGTGGGTTTGGGGGCATTACAAAGTAAATGGGTCAAATCTCAAAAATGGATGATTTGTGTGTTTTTTCGTATTTTGGGATGGGTAATAGTTTCTTAATTGTTTTTCTCTACCAATAAAGATAGTTAAAAATCCAAAACACGATTTCTTACAATATCCAAAGTATAGACTCTTTCTCAACTTGCTAGAGTGCGAGTAAACAATATTGACTTCAGATTTAGATAATGCTCTAATTTTCCGGTTTTCTATCAGAATGGAACGCGATTCTAAAGAACCAAAACGTGAAACTATAGAATCTTTTTATTACAGTAAAAGGCAGAAAACAGACAGTATTGCATCGTCAGTCAGTGTGAATGAACCTCCGGTAGATGCATCGCCTTGTCCGTCTTCCACAATTGATCAACAACCACAACAAATTTCCTCCACTTCATCAGGAACTCATTTATCATCATCACAGTCAGCTGTAAAAGTGTCAGATATCAGTCGTTCATGACATAAAGGTCCAACTCAACCAAAACTCTCTTCTTATTCACAAAATAAAGACAATAGAGCCTTCAGGCATCAATGGTTTCAAAAAGAAATTCATACTACCCTTTATAACTCCCAAAAGATATAGGGCGCCGCCCGGGCACCTACGATTTCCTGCTTACGCCACTAATGAATGTGCACCGACAGAAACATTCTAAACTTTACAAAAGAATAATTCCGAACTTATGCTTTTTCAGAGTTCCGTTTATAATATTATCAATGGGTTTTTTCACCTATATTGTGAAAGAATAAAACTATGACTTTATCGAGATGGGAGAAAAATAAAACGTGAGTTTTGTTTTCGATATATCTCTTTTACCATTGACGCCAGAGAGCCAGTTCAAAGGCCACTCGAAAAAGCAGGTATTTTTGAACATCACTATATATATAAAAATAATTAACACCGAAGGCTGCTCAAGTTTTATAGACAAAACGTTTTTTCTCGTCTTAAAGCGTTCTTTTTCTGACTCATCTAAAAAAATTTGGAAATCTAATCCTGTTTTTTGTTCCGGTCAGGGGTGTAGGCTTCAAGATACAAAGGATTAGCCATCCGATAGTGATTATTTTTTAAGACTGACCACTGGAGATCGTGATTCATGATGGTTCACTTTGTAAAAGTCGTCCACACGTGTGTTGACCAGTCAGAATTTTTTCAAACACTTATTCGTACACAAAGAAATGTTTAAGTAATCCGATATTCTGAGCTCTCTACGATACTTTAATCGAATATACGCATTTTTCTAAGAGCAGCAAAAACTCTTCTTTTCCTTTCTTCTGAATCGATTTTGATCTCGTAGCCTTGCGTAATTTCATGATTTTTCTCTTATTTTACGTACTAAAAATCTCTAGCTGGTCTTGAAATGTAATCAACACTATTTGCAAGACCAGTTCGGATCTCTGGAAACTGAGATAGCAATCTACCAGTTATTTTCATATACAGTACCGATAGACGACGGAGAAACAAGAAGAGAGAATAAACGAGGAAAATATTTTTAAAAAGAGATAACAATGAAGCAAGAGAAAGATTTCAACATTTGAGCAAGTAAAACGCGATAGTTTCACAAAATAACAACAGAGAAGAGATGACAAATAATTAAATTTTGTTTTGTGCTTAGTACATACATGTAGAATATATAATAAAAATACAGTACTGGTCTAACACATACACAAAGAGTAAGAAACTAGATTACTATGTTGCTATGATGAAAAGTATTAGCCACCTGGATCTGGGATGAGATTTTTTGAAATTCCGTTAGGGAAAACAAACAGAGGTACTGAGCGAACAGTACCGTTTAATTTTGGTTGATGACTTAAAATTACTAAAGATTCTTTAATCAGTAGTAGATATGGATTACTATCTTTTAGTAAAACTTTGAATCCATCCCAGTCTATAGTATGTTTCTCATCTATACTATGTCAGAAAACCCATAGCTACTCCATTTATCTGTCTATATAGTTGTCCATCAAAAATAGAATGTGTGTCAGCAGTAGCTATTTGAAGAAGAAACTCCAAATCTTTTCGATCTTGACACGAACATGATGTTCTACTCCCACATCTAACTTTACATTTATTTTGTTTCGGATAAATGTTGTCTAATATAATATTGATGGTAAACTGTAATGGTACTTTAGTGAAGAGACTAGTCACGTCAAACGAGACCATTTTATAATTAGTCATGTCAGAGGACATGTTAGATATTTGATTAACAAAGTGAAACGTGTCTTTACAAACATGTCTGCTGTCTCCCAAATGTGATAGCCTATTTTGCAGTTCTGCGGGTAAAAGATTAGACGATATTTCACGACAAGGGTTTATGACAGGTAACACTTTTTCCATCCCACTTTTTGTCTCTCTCTCTCTTCTTTTAGTTATCGGTAATTCTGGATGCATTAAACAAATATGTCAAGCATTTGAATGGGTTGAATTATATTTTAGAAAAACTTTGTTTACCGATGATCATGGTCCTGATAGCTTTTTACATCAAACTGCCAATATAAGTTGCTTTATTTTTTGAAGATACTAAGGCGACTAACAGTAAAAAGATGAGAAAATGTACCAAATGTGCCTTCAAAACGCACTGTCCAAGATGTCTTTCAGATCCAGTTTGGTCGAGAACACTTCAGACTATATATCTATGAAAAAGATCTATAGATTTCTATGTTAGTTCTGAGAGATCCGAACTGGTTTTTTACAGATCTCCTGAGAAATCGGTCTTAGAAATTTTTTCCAAATTTGTTTTTGCTTATGAAAGCATAGCTTCAGGTCCCGGCTCGCGAATGATGAAAATCGGAAGTCTCTATATTTTATTCCTTTTGAGTCATTCAAAAGATACCCGCCGGCATTGTATTTTGGCCCTGCTCGTAGTGCAACAAACATTAGCAAACAAAAGGAAAACGAACCGAATATTCACATAGTGGAGATTTCCAGTTCTGCTCTCGAAGACTGTTTACAAAAAGAGAAAACCAAGTTAACTCTAATAAGTAGACTGATATGTATTTCTATCCTATCCCACTACTTTAGTTTTTGCCGAATTTTCACGTTCAAAGATTACCGAAATTTTCGCCAAAAAATGAAAATCGAGTAAAAATTTCGACATACATATCAGCCGACTCAATTTTTGATTCTGATTTCAAAAATATATACTTACTGCACAACAGTTGAGTTCCGATGGAGAAAAATCAGAATTACCAGCAGAATTCTGACGTTTTCTTTCTCGACCGGCCGATCAAATTAATTTTCTTTTGACCGACCGATCAAAAATTTCTGACCGGACCGGCCAGTTGCCGGTACCGGTTACATCTCTGGTAAAAAGTAAAGGCGATTTAGTGCAAAAGAAAAATGTCTTTCTTAAGACGTCACAAATCTACTTGAAAAACAATAGTGACACAGTATTGTTTGACAGAAGGATAGCGGCATTTTGTATTTTTTTGCAGAAGAAAAGCAAGAACAACGGAAAAGAAAAATATGAAAATTATAATTAAGTGCTAACCTACAGATATATATAAAGCATGTAAAAAAGAATATATTTTCAAATTGTTTGTTTACTTGTTATTTACTATTTCTTGAATAGTATTTTTGAATTATAACCGAAGAAAAGACATTCATAAAACCAACACCAGAAAATAAAAGATAGTAACAAAGTACTGCTTATTATTAAGCACTTGCTACTTTAAAGTTCTTAATTGTACATTTTTCTTGTCGAGCTGTTGCAGTTTGTTTTCTTTTACGGGTTGCTTCATGCGTTGCATATACTTCTACAATTTCTTCTTCTTCATCTGTATTATTTACAGCTTCTTCTTCGGTGCATTCATACTCATATGAATCTATGTAAAAAAGTTACAATTAGTTACAACAAAAGGAAAATAACTCTGACAGTTTGAAAAGAGTACAGCTCTCATATTAGGTATCGACATGTACGACCCTTCATTGAGCTATGATAAATTTCGAATCGTCGTATCAATGTTTTATATTCGTTCGCTCTACAAGTTTCCCCTTGAGAGAAGTGGTCTCTACTTTTGAATCTGTTTTCGTAGTTTGCTTCGAATGTTTACCTTGCTCATTTATTTTCTTATGAATGTTTTTGCTCAGATCAAGAACTTGATTTTCTTTTTCGATTGACAATTTACAGTTCTTTGTTGAACTTGGTATTTTTAACAAACTTTCTTCGATTTTCGAAACATGAGTTGAGTACGGTGGCGCTGATAATAAGTTGAATGCTTGACGTGTTATGAATGTTTTGTTTCGAGTGTCAATTGTTTTAAATGTTTCATAATAATCTTTGATTTTAGTGATAGTAAATTGTTTTAATATACAGCCAAAGTTTAGTTGTGCTTCTATATCGTTGGATGGTAAATGTTTCAAATAGGATTTCTGATAGTTGATAGTATTTCTGATTTCTGAGACTCTATCATTAAGATTTTGCCACATAATATGTTTATTGAAGCAGTTATAAATGAAGACGTGTTTATTGTTGAAGTATTTATTGTCGTTGTCCCTGTTGCTGCTACTATACTTCCAGTACTTGATTCTGATTGATCCGATTCTAGTTGCAATGGCTTTTTTTGTTGACCAATAATTAGCGATGTACTATGTTGTTCATCGTTTAATGTAATTGATGATTGAACATGAACTGTAATGAGAATGCAACGGAAGATCGTGTTTCACTCTTATGATAAGAGTCTTATCTTGTAATAAACTCAAACAATTGTCTTTTTTGTCAAAGACTGAATGCATCAGTTAATGATAGATATACTCACGATGTCGACCCTTGCCTCAGCTTTAAAAAAGTTCTTTAGCAAAGCTGGTAGCTTTTGCCTTGCGAACTAAACCTTCACCTAACAACTTTACTAATACATTAAACGATCTTTGATTTGATCGTTGATTTTTGCTGTGTCACACATACAAGACAGATCGTGACGGGCCGGGAAAACCCATGGTGGTCCACGGGTTCCCACGGACCGGGCCTACGTTTTTGAATCTTGCTTACGGACCAGGCTGCAATTTGATGGCCCGCATGAGAGCCCAGCCTTTTTCCAAAAAATTCGATAAAATTACAAGACAACACCGAAAGGCAACACTCATATTAAATGTTAGAAAAAGACACTATCTTTTCTTGAAAATGTCGCTGACGAAGTTGACTGTCCTTTGAGTATCTGTTCTAAATGCTAATCTAAATTCTACGAGCTATCCTGCGGACCGGCCCGTAGAATGTAGAATGTATTTGGCCCGGCCCGTACGGACCGCTCCGAAAAATGTCTGCGTTCACTCCGGGTCGGGCCGGACCGGCAGGGGCGTAAGTCAGTACTTACGAGGAAAGGACACCAAGTGATAAATCGCTTCTAGCTTAAAACTTAGTGAACAATAGGTAATCGAATGTGCTGATTCCGGATACTAACATGAGACGGGCCGCTAGGCCTCCAAAGACTGGATT